AGCTAGCGGCACGCGCTCTTCACCATCAACGGCACCACGGGCGCGCTGCACACGCGCGCGGCCATCGACCGCGAGAGCCTCGCCAGCGACGTCGTGGACCTCGTCGTGCTCTCCAGCAAGCCCACGTACCCCAGCGAGGTGCGCGTGCTCGTGCTCGACCTCAACGACAACGCGCCTGTCTTCCCCGACCCCTCCATCGTGGTCACTTTCAAGGAGGACACGGGCAGCGGGCGCCAGCTCATCCTCGACACGGCCACCGACGCCGACAGCGGCACCAACGGCGTGGACCACAGCTCCTACCGCATCGTGGCCGGCAACGAGGAGGGCCGCTTCCGCCTCAACATCACGCTCAACCCCAGCGGCGAAGGAGCCTTCCTGCACCTGGTGTCCCGCGGCGGTCTGGACCGCGAAGCCACTGCCGCCTACCAGCTCCTGGTGCAGGTGGAGGACAAGGGAGAGCCGCGGCGGCGGGGCTACCTGCAGGTCAACGTCACCGTCCAGGACATCAACGACAACCCGCCCGTCTTCAGCCAGACGCTCTACCAGGCGCGGGTGCCTGAGGATGCCCCCGTGGGCGCCAGTGTGCTCCAGGTGGCAGCGGCGGATGCCGACGAGGGCACCAACGCTGACATCCGTTATCGCCTGGAGGGAGGTAACGGCGGCGGCGGGGAGGGTGCTGCAAGCCTCCCGTTTGAGGTGGACCCCGAGAGCGGTGTGATCCGCATCCGGGAGCCCCTGGACTATGAGACGCGGCAGCAGTATTCGCTCACGGTGCAGGCCACGGACCGCGGCGTGCCGGCGCTGAGCGGACGCGCCGAGGCCATCATCCGTCTGCTCGACGTCAATGACAACGAGCCCCGCGTGAAATTACGCTACTTTCCTGCCACCTCCCGCTTCGCATCTGTGGACGAGAACGCGGCCCCTGGCACCGTGGTGGCCTTGCTGACGGTGAGTGACGCTGACTCCCCCGCGGCCAATGGCAACATCTCTGTGTCCATCCTGGCGGGCAACGAGCAGCGGCACTTCGAGGTGCACAGCAGTAAGGTACCCAACCTCAGCCTCATAAAGGTAGCGGCCGCGCTGGACCGGGAGCGCATCCCTGCCTACAACCTGACCGTGGCGGTGGCCGATAACTACGGGGCCCCACCGCCATCCCCTGACTCCCCCACTTCTTCCCTTGCCCCCGAGGGCGCAGTGGCAGCTCCTGTGAGCCGCTCGTCGGTGGCCAGCCTGGTGATCTTTGTGAATGACATTAATGACCACCCGCCGGTCTTCGGGCAGTCTGTGTACAGGGTGAATATCAGCGAGGAGGTGCCCCTGGGCAGCTACGTGCGGGGCCTGAGTGCCACGGACCGTGACTCTGGCCTCAACGCCAACCTGAAATACAGCATCGTTTCGGGCAACGAGCTGGGCTGGTTCCGCATCAGCGAGCACAGCGGGCTGGTCACGACAGCCGGCCCCGACGGCGGCGCCGCTGCACCTGCTGGGGCAGCGTCCCCCGCCCGTGGGCTGGACCGAGAGACGGCCTCCGAGGTGGTGCTCAACATCAGCGCCCGTGACCAGGGAGTGCAGCCCAAGGTCTCCTATGCTCAGCTGGTGGTCACCATCCTGGACGTCAATGATAACAAACCTTGCTTTAGCCAACCTGATGGCTACCACGTATCTCTGGCTGAAAACTCCCCTTTGGGAACAGAATTGCTCATCCTGAGTGCTACTGATGGGGATCTGGGGGACAATGGGACTGTTCGCTTCTCCCTGCAGGAAGCTGAACCAGTGGTAGCAGTGAGTGGCTCTTCTGCAATGGCCCCTCGACGCGTCTTTCGCTTGGATCCTGTGACGGGCAAGCTCAGCACTGTCTCGCAGCTGGACAGGGAGGAGCAGGCTCATTTCTCTCTGCACGTCCTGGCCACTGATCTAGGTTCTCCTCCTCTTTCTTCAATAGCTCGCGTTAATGTGACTCTGCTGGATGTGAATGACAATAGCCCTGTGTTTTACCCAGTTCAGTATTTTGCCCACATCCAGGAGAATGAGCCAGCTGGAACCTATGTGACCACGGTGTCTGCCACTGACCCTGACTTGGGACCCAACGGGACAGTCAAGTACAGCATCTCGGCTGGAGACACCTCCAGGTTTCAGGTCCATGGCCAGACAGGGGTTATCACAACAAAAATTGCCCTTGACAGAGAGGAGAAAACTGCTTACCAGTTGCAGATAGTGGCCACTGATGGTGGTCATCTCCAGTCACAGAACCAAGCCATTGTCACCATTACTGTCCTGGACACGCAAGACAACCCGCCTGTTTTCAGCCAGGGCATGTACAGTTTTGTTGTCTTTGAAAATGTTGCCATAGGTTATCACGTAGGTACTGTTTTTGCTTCTACTATGGACCTCAACACCAACATCAGTTACCTTATCACAAGAGGTGACCAAAGGGGCATGTTTGCCATCAACAGAGCGACAGGCCAGATCACCACTGCCAGTATCCTTGATAGAGAAGAGCAAGCATTTTACCAGCTGAAAGTGGTGGCTAGTGGCGGGGCAATAACTGGAGATACTGTGGTCAATATAACTGTCAAAGACTTAAATGACAACTCCCCCCACTTTGTTCATTCAGTGGAGAGTGTAAACGTGGTTGAAAACTGGAAAGCTGGGCACACCATTTTCCAGGCCAAAGCTCTTGATCCTGATGAAGGCGTTAATGGAGTGGTCCTTTACAACCTTAAGCAAAACCCAAAGGGCTTGTTCTCAGTCAACGAAAAAACAGGTGCCATAAGCTTAACGGGACCACTTGACATAAATGCTGGGTCTTACCAGGTAGAGATTCTGGCCTCTGATATGGGGGTTCCGCAGTTGTCCTCCAACTTCATCTTGACTGTCTCTGTTCATGATGTAAATGATAATCCACCTGTGTTTGACCAGCTTTCCTATGAAGTGACTATTTTGGAGTCAGAGGCTGTGAATTCCAGGTTCTTTAAAGTGCAGGCTTCTGACAAAGATTCAGGTGTGAATGGGGAAATAGCGTACAGTATAATTGAAGGAAATACTGGGGATGCCTTTGGCATATTCCCAGATGGCCAGCTGTATATAAAGAGTGAACTGGACCGTGAGCTTCAAGAAAGATACGTTTTACTGGTGGTTGCTTCTGACAGAGCAGTAGAACCACTCAATGCTACTGTGAATGTTACTGTAATTCTGGAGGATGTAAATGATAATAGGCCACTGTTTAACAGCACCAACTATGTATTTTATTTTGAAGAGGAGCAGAGGGGTGGATCGTATGTAGGTAAAATAAATGCTGTAGATAAAGACTTTGGGCAGAATGGTGAAGTCAGGTATTCATTTGAGCATATGCAACCGGATTTTGAGCTGAACACAATAACTGGCGAAATAACAAGCACTCATCAATTTGACAGGGAAGCTCTTATGAGACAACGGGGAGCTGCTGTATTTAGTCTTACAGTAATAGCAACAGATCAAGGGTTACCAAAGCCTCTAAAGGATCAGGCAACTGTACAGATATATATGAAAGATATCAATGATAACGCCCCCAAATTTTTAAAAGATCTCTACCAAGCTACTATATCAGAATTGGCAGCAAATCTGACACAGGTTCTGAGAGTTTCTGCCTCAGATGTTGATGAAGGGAATAATGGGTTGATTCACTATTCTGTAATCAAGGGAAATGAAGAAAAACAGTTCACAATAGATAGTAGCACAGGCCAAGTGACATTAATAGGCAAACTAGATCATGAAGCTACTGCGTCTTATTCGCTTGTCATCCAAGCGGTAGACTCTGGAATAGTTCCCCTAAGCTCAACTTGCACCCTGAGCATTGATGTTTTAGATGAAAATGACAACAGTCCTTCCTTCCCTAAATCAACTTTGTTAGTGGATGTCTTGGAAAATATGAGAGTTGGTGAACTTGTGTCCTCTGTGACTGCCACTGATTCCGATTCGGGTGACAATGCTGACCTCCATTATAGTATTACAGGGACAAACAATCATGGGACCTTTAGCATCAGTCCCAACACCGGTAGTATTTTTCTTGCAAAAAAATTGGACTTTGAGACACAGTCTTTATATAAGCTAAATATAACTGCAAAAGACCAAGGAAGGCCGCCACGGTCATCTACAATGTCAATAGTAATACACGTTAGAGATTTTAACGACAATCCTCCTAATTTTCCTCCAGGGGACATTTTTAAATCTATTGTTGAGAACGTTCCTATTGGTAGTTCTGTCATTTCTGTAACTGCTCATGATCCAGATGCAGATATTAATGGGCAGTTGACGTATGCGATCATTCAACAGATGCCAAGAGGTAACCATTTCCGTATAGATGAAGTCAGAGGGACAATATTTACCAATGCTGAAATAGATCGCGAGTTTGCTAATCTCTTTGAATTAACAGTCAAAGCCACTGATCAGGCCGTTCCTGTGGAATCCAGGCGTTTTGCTCTGAAGAATGTGACCGTTTTGGTGACGGATCAAAATGACAACGTTCCTGTGTTCATATCGCAAAACGCCCTTGCTGCTGACCCTTCAGTTGTGATTGGTTCAATCCTAACTACAATTATTGCTGCAGATCCTGACGAGGGTGCCAACGGGGAAGTGGAATATGAAATAATCAATGGGGATACAGAGACCTTCATTGTGGATCGTTACAGTGGAGATCTAAGAGTAGCATCAGCTTTGGTGCCTTCTCAGCTCATCTACAACCTCATAGTTTCTGCCACGGATCTTGGCCCTGAAAGAAGAAAATCTACCACTGAGTTGACTATAATTTTGCAAGGGATTGACGGGCCTATCTTCACTCAGCCGAAATACATAACTATCTTAAAAGAAGGCGAGCCCATTGGGACCAACGTCATATCTATAGAAGCAGCCAGCCCACGGGGTTCAGAGGCTCAGGTGGAATATTACATAGTGTCTGTCCGCTGTGAAGATAAAAGTCTGGGACGCCTCTTTACCATCGGGCGCCACAACGGCGTGATGCAGACTGCTGCCATTCTGGACAGGGAGCAAGGAGCGCGTCTCTACTTGGTGGATGTTTATGCCATTGAAAAGTCGTCTGCTTTGCCCCGCACGCAGCGAGCAGAGGTAAACTGTTTACGTGATGATTATTTACAGATTTCCTTCTTAACGAAGCCATTCGATTTATTTGTTGTATTAACTGACCATTTTAATAGATATTAGTGCACAGCAGAAGTGAGACGAAAATTAAGTCTGTTCATTAATTCAAGATAATCTGCCAGTCAGTGTGCCTCCAACTGTTTTCCCCCAAGCTACCTCTCGAGATGTTTGGCAAAGGTTTGGGTGTACCTTAAGCCTTGTCACAGCTGAAGCTGTCAGGCGTGACACTAGTAGGTACTAAATACTTTAGTCTTAATCACAGGTATCTGAGTTTTACATATCTTCTTATTTTAGGAATCATCAATTAGTTTTAGTCTTTCTATGCCTATGTGGGCTATTATTGGACTTCTTTTATTACAGCTGTCATGTCAATGTGTTTGGCCAGTTGGCCAGTAGGGAATTGCTGTCTGAAGTTTGTTTAGTGTCCCATGTCTCAACATTCTTATTTTCCCCTCCTTTGTGGTGTTCCTGGTTAAGTTCCTCAAGTGGATCTCCTCGTATTTTGCAGATCCCCTATTACTCCTTTCTTTATGTTCACAGATGAGCATGAAATGGCCTCGTTT